CTTATTTCAAAAAGTTTTTGTTAGAAATTATGCAATATTAGTTCCATTCCATAATCGACTTAGACATWAGATTTCCGTACAATAGAGAAAGAGAGAGAGACGCGGGATTCCGTATTGTTCTTTTTTTCTTTCACTAAACACAACGATCGTTGATCATCGTTGTGTTTATTGTCACAGTTCATCAAGCTCATTTTAGATAGGGCATYTTTCAAACAGGTTTAAAAAACAGCAACAACATGTCCTACTTTGTGCAAACGATTTATTAAGTGATTAATATTTTGTGCGACATCCTCGCAGTCTAACGATGTCCTTAAGTCTCTTAGGGAGACTTACAATAGTTTTTCAATCTGTTTGGAATCACACGCAAACAGAGTGTTAATAACGCGGACTTTAAAATCTTGAAAGGACTCTCTCGCTTATGAGTCATTAATTGCATTGTGTTGGATACAATAGTCGTCAAATACTCAAAGTATTTMTTGAGTTTGAAACTTTAGAGTGTGGAAGATTTACACTTGGTTGATTGCTGAACTTGGGTGTTTGTTTTTAAAAGAATTATGGAAGGATTTTATCAATAATTTGCTCAACACAATGTGTATGTTTAAAAAACAAACATTTCTTTTCATTAGTCCTTTGAATTCATTGACGGTAGCGTGATATCCTCGAGATCCTAACTGGAACAACGTAGCCATTGCGTTTCTCAAAAGTAAAATTTTTAGGTCTTGCTTGCTTGTTTGCTTGGTTGAGTTTTGGAGTTAAAAATTCAAAATCCCCGCCCTCTATAAATTGGATTRGTAAACAAAAGACTTGTCCAAACGTGCCTAACAATAGTCTTATGACGTAAATTGGTCGTCATGGCAACCTCAAACAATACCTGCTCGTCATTTAATGGTAATATTTGATGAATAATTAATGTGCTCATCCTGCTGTACTCGAATCCTCCTCAGAAATTAGTAAATTTTCCTCAAAAATCCGAATCGGGCCATGCGGCCTGTACTACTTAAGCAGATTGCCATTCTCTACTTTCACATCCACATAATGCCTTGCGTCTTTGGGGGGTAACCAATAAAAAAAACTGGCCCAAATTGAAAGGTTTCTTAATTGAGTTCATACTATACCTGCTTTTATCTGTACAATACTGATTATCAGTTTATTCTAAGTTAGTTTTGCGTGTACAGATCATCAAGAGTTTTGSTCTTACAGAAAATGTATTGAGTTACGAAAAAATGTTTAAAATTTACCATAAACGTCTTAAAAGTTCGACTTAAATGAGTGTATAAATTCTTCTGCTGCTTCTCGCAAATAGGACAGGACCCGGTCATCGTGCGTCTTTTGAAGAATGAGGCGAATTCCTATAGGGAGCACTATTTATGCGAATCCAGTTGGCAAGCGCAGGAATTCTAGTCTTCATAAGATTTTAATGTAGATATAAGATTCTAGTATAGATAGTAGATCTAGTGTAGATTCTAGTGTAGAATCCACAGCCACTCACGAACAAGTCCATGTACTCTCTGAGGTCTGCCATAATCTATTGAAAGGAGGCATTCCACTTTCTTACTCTCAAAAAGAAGCACTAAGACCTCATGCTAAGGACATCAGAGCGTTAGCTGACTCAGCAGTACCGTTCAAAACAAAGAAAACAATTTTGGCTCAAAAGGGCGGCGAATTTGTGGAAGATATTACATCACCATTGATGTCGGGTTTGAGTCTTTTCCTGGTATAAATAGCCCTTCGCAAGAAAATATCGTTGATAACGAAGATGGTGATGATGATGACGAGGATGATGATGAGAAGGAGGAGGAGGAGGATGCAGAGGAAAAACAAGGCAAGGACGACGAAACGAATCATGATGAACAGGAGCAAAACAAGTGTCACGTTTGTCAAGAACCCCGGCAGTTTTCAAAGATCTTCATAGACCAAATTCAAAACTCGCACCGATGTGAGGCTTAAGTTGTGAACAAAGGAATCTGGCGTGATTCGTGACTTTTGAATCACGCCAGATTGCTTTGAGTCACGCCAGACCCCTTTGTTCACAATTTAAGCCTCACATC